AGTTACCCAGTCCTAAACCAGACAACAAATACCATTCCAGCTAATGAATTGCCAACACTTAGAAAACCCAGACTATCTGGAAATGCATCGTTTCTAACTCCTCAGCCCGCATGTGTGCATAGACAACTCTAAGTGGGAGTTCTAACATAGACCTTCAACAATGGACATCCACATCTCAATTAAGTCCTTTGATTGTCCACTAAGATGTCACCTAGTCCTAGGAAAAGCCTATTTCTGAGACCTTACTCTCTGAACAGCATTTTTAAGAAGCCTAACTAATGTGCAGAAAGCACAAGGCTCTGAAAAGAAAAGTCCAAAGTGAACAAAGACAGGCTCCCACGTGATGCAGTTAAGTCTGATGCCTGCACCTTGTTTAGCACAGGTGACGGAGAATTAGAGCAGGTCTCAGCGAGGCACTCACCCGCTCCATCTTGCAAAAACCTTAGCGACTCTCCAGGGTCCTAGTGCCAAATGACCCCTCGGCAGGGCTCTGCCTCAGACCCTGCTGCCCTCACCCCCAGTCAAGAACTGCGTTCAGTCCTGATTACCCTCCCCGTGGACTTGGGCTCGGCTCTGGAAGCATCTGGGCACTTTGGTCAGAGGCAATAGAAACACCTAGGAAACCAAAAGTTTGGCCCCAGGATGTTGGAATTTCCCTCCAATCTCCCTGTCAAGCTGACCGGTCAGTTTTAGCTGAGTGGTCACCGCTGCTCAGCAGTCAGTGCTGCACTGCCAGCGGGATGAGGGGCCCCACTGGCGCTGGACTTCTGCCTCCCCCACCTTCCCAGCTGTCCAGGCGTCCACGGCCCTCCGGCTCACCATGAAGACCAGCGATGTGCACTGACCCCTCCCAGAACAGGGCGGGAGGCCTCCAGGGTCAGAAGGCCACATAGAAAGCGCGCCTGCTCAGCTGCTGGCCTCGTATTCTCGTTACGTGCACGGTGGAAACAGGGGTCAGGAGACAACAAGGAAGGCTGGCGCACCCTCCGCCCAGGGCAGTGCCAGCTGTTTTCTGTCAGCGAAGCACCCGCAGTGATGTCACTGGGCGCAGGGTTGGGCAGAGATGTGCCATAGTGTGGCTCTCCTATCCACCGTGAATAACCTCAAGAGAATGGATAATGGCAAGCTGTGAAATAATGGGGAAATGGTGAGTTTGCATATTTATTACTTTTGTTTTAATATAATTTTCTTAATTTTTAAGCTTACATTGTTTAACTTTAACAATGGCTGTATTTAACGACTGGCTCTCCAAATTCCTGAAGGTTCAACAGCAGCTCTCAGGAGCTCATCACCAAATAAAAACCCTGGGAGCCACAGCCTCCCAGGACCCAGTGGGGTCCCCTTCCCGTCTGACCCCCGCCCGTGGGGCATCCGGACACCTCCCTCCCGTAGTAAGAGCTATGGATGTAAAGCCAGGCCTCACAGGCAGCCTTCCCCTTCCAGGGAGCTGTGCAGGCCCTGTGCTGTCTGTCCCCAAGCCCCCATTTCCGAGATCTCCAGGCGGCCCCTCACCATCACCCCCAGCATCTGCCCTGGAGCACTAAATCCAGCACACACTCCTGTCTCTCCACCGCCCACCATGTCCACGGGACACAGTGGCCCTGGGCACTGTGGTGCCGATGACAGTGGGGGTACGGAGGGGTCTCTAATCCCTGGGGAGGGGCCAGGGCCCAGAGACTCACAAGACTCCCTGAAAGAGGGGGCATGTGTCACGTGCTCTCACAACGCCCTTGTTTGATGTAACATTTCCAATATTTTTAAAGTTGCGGTTTTGCATGAGAACCTTGGGCTCTAGCTTCCCTAGGAAGTCCACGTCCCATCCGCAGCCCCCAGGCTGCCCCCTGGGGATCCGGGCCTGCTAATCTCCAGCAGGCCACACAGAGGGCATCCGCAGGGCCGACGTTCCCTGTGGTCGGGAGCTGGGGGCAGAGGGAGGCTGCCCTGGGGAGAAGGTGAGCAACCGGAGAGTAGGGGGTGCTCAGAAGGCCCGAGGATGGGGTCCAGGCAAGGGGGAAAGGGTGCCTAGGAGGCCTCCAGCTGAGCACCATGGAGACACAGATCCATACAGTCAGGACAGAAACAGCCCAAGGCCACCACAGAGGAAGGAGGGGCAGAACACTGGGGGTTCGGGAAGACCCCCCTCAAGTGACAAGAGTAAGCGCTCTGAGGAGCCACTCAGATGAAGCTGCCCGATGTTCCAGGGCCAGCAGTCAGGAGAGCTGCTCCACGAGGGGCCAGGGGCATTGGGGGGTGCTGTGCAGAGGGCCTGGGATGCCCTGAGCACACAGGTTCATGTGTTGTGAAAACCCTTCCACCTCACTGAGGGTGCCGGCTCCCCACTCGCTCCCTGGGTACCCCAGACTCGCCTCAAAAAGTCAAGGAAAATGGAGATACTAAGGAGGAGGGAAGGGCCGAGGCTGGCTGACCTACTGAGCCCTGACCCCTGGCTGACCTACTGAGCCCACAATCCTCAGGGCCATGACAGGACCTGCTTCAGAGCAGGGCAGCCCTGGTGACTGTCCCTGGCCTCCTGAGGCACGGGAAGGGCAGAGGTGACAGACACAGTGTGGGGGACAAAGGAAGGGTGGGGTGGGGAGCCTGGTAATGCCGGGGCTCTTGTTTGCAGAGTCAAAGAATGACCTTAGCAAACACCCAAGGTAGGAGAGCCAGGGAGAGGCTTTTATTGAGAGATACAGTGAGAGGACAGAGCTGCTGGCTCGCGCCAGGAGGGGACAAGAGAGCCCGTAGTGGTGCGTTGTCTAGGGGATTTATAGGCAGTTGAGGATTTTGGGGAACATGAAAAAAGGCTTAGGGGTGTGGACTTGTTAAGTGGTCCCTGAATATTTAGAATTAACTTAACACAAGGAACTTCCTGCTCTGATTTCTCCTTGGAATACCGGTGTCTTGGTCTGAGAGCAGATCAAACAGGGCCGCCTGCCCAGCCCCCACGGTGGGCTGAGTTACTGTCTGTTTGCTGAAGAGTAAGTTAAGAATCCAACTTCTTAACTTCCTGGGTATTAAAATGCAATCTTATTTTTACGGTGGAATCCTTCTTGCGTTTTACTGTTGTTTGTGGCTGGGCCTGCAGGCTGAATTAGTTGTCCAGTTTGCAAATCACCTCACCAGGTCTGAAGGAGGAAAGACAGCGCATAGGCCTGGGCCTTTTAGCATGTTTAAGTGAATCTTACACATGATTACAAATGATTAGCATAATAAAAACATGTGCTATTCTTCTTTATCTGGGGAATATTAACTGATCTCACTGAAGAATAATAACTCTAGAGCTTAATGTTGAACACAGAGTTTTGGTAGGGGGCTTTGCTTGCATGTAGTTACATTGCTCTGACTGCAAAAATCCTGCCTTGCTTTTTCTGGAGGCCCCCACCCCACTCTGACTACACCCACAGTCCCTGTCTCACTGGGAAGGTCTCAGCTCTCTGAGTCCATCTCTTCCTCTCACAGTCCCCTCTTGTGGGGACTGAAGTCCTCAGATGGCTCAGAACTTAGATGTGCAGCCGGACATGCCCTTACCCAAGCTCTGAAGGACCAGTGACACCTGCACGTCATGGCTGAGCCCTGCCTCCCTGCACCAAGTCATCACTAATGTGGGTTCTGGTCCCAACCAGGGCTTCCCATGTGGAGTGTGCACATGTGCAGGGGAATGTCATGGGGCGATGCACAGTGATTGACACACTCATGTGCATGCACACACTCCTCTGAGACCCTGACCCCTGGCCCACCTTTAACCCTCCCAGCATCCTGGGGTGGAGCATCATTACCCCCATTTTACAAGGGGCAGGATGAAGTCTGGGAGTCAGCAGATCACAAGGCCACAGAGCTGGGGCTCCTGCCCACCAAGCATGGGGACAGGGTTTAGTTCTGAGTCTGGTGCTTTAATTTCTGGGCACTGGGCCACCAGCTGAACAATAAAGGAGACACAGTGCAGTGGGTACGGGTACCTCAGAGACCCACCTGCCCATGGGTGTGCAGACCTCCAGGGGCAGCTGCTGGGCCGGGGTCACAGTCCTCCCAAAGCTGTACCTGTCTCAGCCTCCTGTCTTTGGCAGAGGCATGCTGACCACTCAGCTGCAAGGCCCCGGCTGGCTGCCCAAGCTGCTCCTCTGACCCCACAGGCTTGCAGTCCAGTGGGGACAATGAGAGGGCTGTATGTCCAGGAGGCAGATGCGGTTTGGTGGCTGCTCAGGGCTGGCCGTCTGGAGGCTTTTGGTTGAGACTCGAGGATGAGAAAGCACTGGGGTGAGGGCTGTGAGGACAGGACAGAGCGTGGGCTGGAGAGATGGGCAGAGAGGAGGTGGCCAGGTCACGGGGACCATGGTGGAGAGGGTAGGGTGGTGAGTCGCCTCCTGGTGAGAGGACTCCAGTGCAGGGGGTTTCCCAGAGTCCATCCCAGCTGGTGACAGCGGGGTGGGGCCTGCAGAGGGCTCAGAGAGGGGCTGGCAGGAGGGAGACAGGAAGGGAGTCAGGGCGGAGTGGCAGTGCAGTGTGCATGCCAGAGGCAGCGAGTGGTGGAGCCTGGAGGGACCTGCCTGGAGGTGCCAAGGAAATGGAAATGCACTGGGCAGGCAGGTGGGCAGGAGAGCGCCAAGGGCCAGCCTGAGCCTGGACATCCAGGCCTACTGGGGGCAAAGTCCTGGGGCAGGTCAACGCATCCCCACTCCAAGCTGGCTTTGCTGAGGCTGCAGAAGGAAGCACCTGGCATTCAGAAAGCAGTGACTTCGTAGTGACACTGAGGGCTGGCTGGGCCGTGTCTTTCCAGCTCAGGACAGGGTCCCATTCACTTGCTGGCCCAGCGGGAGGCCAGCCCCAGGCAATGAGTGGCAGGGATGAGGCCAGCCCGGAGGCCCTGTCTCCAGTAGATCAGGGGGCAGGTAGCCATGTTCTCGGGGAAAACACTGGGTGGTGATGGGGCCATCACGGTGTCCCTCGGGGACTCCGTGTGTGTGCGCGAGGCCAGGGGTCCACAGGTGTGCTCCCACTAGGTGCTGCTGTGGTCGGCCAACAAGGTGTTTGAGGAGCTGACAGACGTCGAGAGGCAGTTCCACAAGGCCTTCTACACTGTGCGGGCTTATCTGAACTGTGACCGATACTCGGTGGGCCTACTGGACATGACCAAGGAGAAGGTGAGGCCTCAGCGCCCCGTGGGCCTCCGGCCAGCCTCGTCCTGCTCATGGGCTGACGCACGGACTCGCTCCCTTCTCCTCCCAGGAATTCTTTGACGTGTGGCCCGTGCTGATGGGAGAAGCCCAGGCATACTCAGGCCCACGCACACCCGATGGCCGGGTGAGTCTTGGTGGCAGAGGCACAGCCCACACCTGAGTTTCCCAGGCTCCAGCTGCGGTGGGGGAAGCCTGCCCAGCCCCACCCAAGTGGAGAGGGTTGGGGAGAGGAGGGGTGTGGGGGGTGTGGTCAGCCTCTGTGACCGCTGAGGCTGTGAGCAGGGTCAGCCTCACTACGACAGCTGTTCTGGTTGGTCAGTTCTCGGCCACCCCCTCTTTAAATCCTTGTAACAACCCCGACATGGGTCCATGTGTGTGTGTGCACATGTGCACATGGGTGTGTGTCTAGTGGCAGCAGTGTGAACAGTGGGAGATACCTCCGCCATTACTACGCACCCAACCGGGACACATCACACAGCCCTGGTGTGCCTCAGTCTCCCCATCTGTCTCACTGGGGTGACAACAGTGCCTCCTTGCAGGGTGTTATGAGGGCTCAGTGGGTTCTGGGCACTGAATGCATAGAACAGTCCCTGTCCGAGGTTGGCTGCAACCACACCTGCCACAGTTACATGAGTATGTGTCAGAGCACACAGGCCTGGGAGGGCAGAGTGGGTCTGTGCAAGGAGCTGGGGCCCAGGTGTGTTAGGTTTGAGTGGGACACAGTGGGGACAAGGGCAGGACAAAGCACACAGTGTGTGTCCCATGAGTGTCTGTGGGGGCCTGGGTGTGTGTATATGAAGTGCATGTGTGCACATGTGTGTGTACCATGCACATATGTAGTCATATGCAACTATGTGGGTGGGTGTGCACACGTGTGTCAGAGTAGGGCACCTGGGTTCCCGGGGGAGCAGCTCACAACAGCTGTGGTCCGTGTCTCAGGAAATCCTCTTCTACAAAGTCATCGACTACATCCTCCATGGCAAGGAAGACATCAAGGTCATCCCGTAAGTGCACCAGAGGCAGGGCCCTGCACCCACGCTGGCCAGCTCATGGGGAGCCTGGGCCCCTGGCACCGTGGGGTACCCTGCGTTGTGGGTCCAGCTGGGTAGGTGGGGAGGGGCTGGTGCGCTGATCTGGGAGAAAACAAGTGGGGGCTGAGGAAGGAGGCACGGCGTCCATGGCGCGCGGACTCCATGTGCGCACCCTGTGCCGGCATCCCCACCCATGTGTGCACCCTGTGCCAGCATCCCCACCCACGTGCTGACCCGCCCAGCCAGCTTGGCAGGCAGGGCTCTAACCCAGAGAACTGGGGAGCAGCAGCCGGCCACTCCTAGCCCTGCAGCCACATGGCATGTGGCCTCATGACCCCAGAAGCCTGTTGAGACCCCACCCACCCAGGTCCCATGCAGGGACTGAGGTGCTAGGCCAGGACATAGGTCAGTGCCAGACCTGCAGAGCAAAACCTATGCTGAGCTCTGAGGACTGGCATGAAGCATGTGGCCCCAGCAGGGAAGGGGTTTCCTACAGGGCAAGGGGTGTCAGCATGGGCAGAGAGGGAGGAATGAGCCACCAGAGATGCCCCCAGACTGCATCCCCTCCTCTCTCACCCTCCCTGGGTCCTGGCCAGCACGCCACAGCCCACTAGCCTCCCCTCCCCATAGTCCATAATTCCCGGCCCACCTGGAGCTCAGAGAAGGGAATAAACACACTGTGCAAAATCTCGGTGCATGGCCGTCAGCCGAGCATCTGCTTCTCTCCCCCAGCACACCCCCAGCTGACCACTGGGCCCTGGCCAGTGGCCTTCCAACCTACGTGGCAGAAAGTGGCTTTGTGAGTCTGTGGGGCCCCTTGCCTGGTGCCCACTCTAGATCCCCCATGCCCGGCCCTTCCCGCCAACCTGTGTGCCTCTGCCAGCTCCCAGATGCTCACTTGGCCTGCTTAGAAGCTCGTGGGGTTGGACGGTCCTTTTAGAATCATAGTATCTGCCCGGCTGACACAGACAAGACTGTTTTCCTGATCTTTTTTCAGATCTGTAACATTATGAATGCCCCCGCTGATGAAATGTTCAAATTTCAGGTATCTGTCTTCACTAATAGAAAGTACACTGTACTCAGGAAAGAAGATACTATGGTTCAGAAACGAGGGACTGAATTGATTTTTGCTGCTTGAGAAACAACCTCAAAATCTCAGTAGCTAATAACAAGAAACGTGCATTCCATGTGTCCGAGTCCGCAGGCTGGCTGGGCCCAGGGCTGCAGGTCTGGTCCTTGCTCTTTCATCTGGGGACACGTCACCAGAGCCGCTTCTTTCTGGAGGAGGCTGAGGCCAGGCTGACTGGCGGGGGCTTTGTGTTCACAGGGCTCCACCAGGAACTGGACGGTGTCCATATTTCACAGGCTGGGCATCAGTTGCGTAGTTTGTAGAGCCTGGTAGGTTAGGAATGTGAGGCCCCTGTTCACAATCACTAAGAGCTTCAAAACGCATGGTGAAGCATTCAGCCAAGCTGTCTTAAGAGCAGGACCCTGAGGCCACCTTGGTGGGAAAACACCCTATTCTCTATGAGAGAAGACACAACACAAACCCACAGAAAGCTGTACGCACAGGGGGAGTGAGCAGACGGGGCAACGACCCAGTGGAAGAAATGAGGCTCACACTCACTGGGTGACAAGCCTGGGCCAGACCCAGAGCAGGGTCATCTCTGGACGCCTCTCCCTGCAGGAAGAGCCTCTGGATGACTCTGGGTGGGTCATCAAGAATGTCCTCTCCATGCCCATTGTCAACAAGAAAGAGGAGATTGTGGGGGTTGCAACGTTTTACAACAGGAAAGATGGGAAGCCCTTTGATGAGCAGGATGAAGTCATCATGGAGGTAAACACCTGTCACAGGTGTGGCTCTGAGGGTGACACCGTGTGAAGGTATGGGAGACAGCAACTCGGGATCCCTCCCCACCATCTGCTTTCCCCTGACCCAGCATGAGGCCTGGGCAGGGAGGGGACAGGAAGGGCTGCGGGCCCATTCCTGGGAGCACCCGAGGCCCCGCTAGCACTTGCTGCAGTGGAGTGGCATGCCCGGGGCCTGCACTCAGGGCGCAGGGCCTGGCATGCACAGTGCCCTGGGTGGGTGACACCGCTCTCTGCAGTCCCTCACGCAGTTCCTGGGCTGGTCGGTGCTGAATGCCGACACCTACGACAAGATGAACAAGTTGGAGAATCGCAAGGACATCGCCCAGGACATGGTTCTGTACCACGTGAAATGTGACAAAGATGAGATCCAGGCCATCTTGGTACCATGCCCACCAGTCCTGGGCCCCTTCTTTGCCCAGCAGTTAGGGGGCATCCTGCAGTCCAGTGGCAGCGCTGGTCCTGGAGCCCCACATGCTCAACACAACCAGGGTCCCTTCCCTGCACCCCAGTCTCCTTGGCTGTGAGCAGGGAGAGCAGAGCCATCAGCCATCCACATGGACAGCTCAGCACAGTGCCCGGGGAGCAGGGGACACAGGACACATGAGCCACCCACACACACCACTTACCTCGGAGACTGAAGGCTCCAGCTGGGGCTTCCCAAGGGGTCATTATTCCTTTGTGCCGGATGTCACCTTGTCTACAGTCAGAGGGGTGGAGCCAATGCTGTCACCTTGTCCACAGTCAGAGGGGTGTAGCCAGCACTGTCACCTTGTTCACAGAGAGGTGTAGTTGACACTGTCACCATGTCCACAGTCAGAGGGGTGGAGCCGATGCTGTCACCTTGTCCATAGTCAGAGGGGTGTAGACGGCACTGTCACCATGTCCACAGTCAGAGGGGTATAGCCGATGCTGTCACCTTGTCCTACAGTCAGACGGTTGTAGCCAGCATTGTCACCTTGTCCATAGTCCAAGACGTGGAGCCGATGCTGTCACCTTGTCCACAGTCAGAAGGGTGGAGCCGACGCTGTCACCTTGTCTCATATCACATCTGTTTTCTCTCCTAGCCAACCAAAGAGCACCTGGGGAAGGAGCCTGCTGACTGTGAGGAGGATGAGCTGGGGGAAATCTTGGTCAGAGGCTGGCTCCTCCCCCCAGGTGGTACTGGAAGGGCCTGGGGGTGGGGGGCAAGGGAGAAAGATGGCTGAACCAGCAGGGGATGTGGGTGTCCCAGGCTACAGGCCAGAGGGACTGGAAGGGCAGGTATCACCGGACACCTGCAGCATCTGGGGCTGGATAGAGGGTCGTTGGGAGAAGGAGAAAGAGACAGGGCAAGTGAAGGGCTGGTTGGCTGTTTCTCAGTCCCATGACCCCTTCCACAGAAGGAAGTGCTGCCGGGGCCCAAGAAGTTTGACATCTATGAGTTCCACTTCTCTGACCTGGAGTGCACAGAGCTGGAACTGGTCAAATGCGGCATCCAGATGTATTATGAGCTGGGGGTGGTCCGCAAGTTCCAGATCCCCCAAGAGGTGGGTGGTTGCGGTTGCAGGTCCCAGACCCACCAGGAGGTGGGATAGGGACTCATTCCAGGGTCCCAGATCCCCATAAGGCAGGAGAGATGTGGTTAGCGGCCCCAAGTCCTGCAGGAAGTTTGTGGGCAGGCATTTCATTACAGAATGGACAATGCAGGCAGGCAAAATACATGCAGCAAATATGCCTAGAATAAAAATGACTGGATGGATGACTGGATGGGTGGAGAGTTTGAAAAACAGTTCTAGGCAATGCGATCATCGGGCCTCACAGGGCAATTGCGGGAGTCGGAATGGCGGCGAGGCAGCCGCAGCAGCCAGTCCGCCGCGGGGAAGGCATGGGCATGCTGTGGGTTTGAGCACAGAGCCCCTCGGAGGTGTCCCAGGAGGAGGGAGCAGCCTTCCCGCCTCCCGTGGCTTTGTGGCCTCTGCCCTGCTTGCACCTTCACTCCTCAGGCAGTGCCTGCCGCCCCATGGCCCAAGTGAGGGAACCCTCTTCCCCCAGTTCTCCCGCAGAACAGGGGCAGCTGGCCAGCACTTCCCAAAGAAATCTTACTAAGTACTGAAGGAAAACACAAAAGAAGAAAATTCAGAAAATATTAACAGTAAAATAATCTATGTCCAAATAATGGTCCGGCCCTAAAAATCACAGTGGAAGCAGTAAGCGGGTCCCCTGGCCCACATTCTGTCACCCGGGAATAACCGCCCGGTAGGAAAAGGCTGGCTCCCCAGCTGCCTCCGGGCTCCAGCCACCGTGTTCTTGCTCCGTCGCCCAAGCGCGGTGCCCACACATCCCAACTGTTTGCATGCCCATCCCTAAAACGGACCCTGTCTTCTAAGCTGTCCCAGAGGCCTCGGTTTGGGTCTAGCCGCAGGACCAAGGCCCCAGGCCGCGGCAAGGCTGGAGCTGTTCTTAGCCTCAGCTCTTGCCCCCCAAGCTGCCCGCGCGCCTCTCCCACCCCAGGGCCCCGACGGTGCTCAGGGCGGGGAGGGGAGCGTGGCGGCAGGGCGGAGGGGCGCGCCCGGGAGCGGCCCAGAGCTGTGTGCGCTCGCCCCGCAGGTCCTGGTGCGCTTTCTGTTCTCCGTGAGCAAAGGCTACCGGAGAATCACCTACCACAACTGGCGCCACGGCTTCAACGTGGCGCAGACGATGTTCACGCTGCTCACGGTGCGAGGGCCGCGCTCCCGGGGCCTCCTCCGCCAGCGCGGTGGGGGCGGCTCCGGCGCGGGGGGTGGGTGGAGGGACGCCGGGCTGGGGTGGGCGGACGGGGTGCAGCCGGGCTGCAGGGCGCGTCTCCCTGCAGACCGGGAAGCTCAAGAGCTACTACACGGACCTGGAGGCGTTGGCCATGGTGACCGCCGGCCTGTGCCACGACATCGACCACCGCGGTACCAACAACCTGTACCAGATGAAGTAAGCGCCCTGGGCCCGCCGAGGGGGCCGTCCGGCGCTTTTCTGGCGGTTCTCATGAACCCTCCACCGCAGATCCCAGAACCCCTTGGCCAAGCTCCACGGCTCCTCCATTCTGGAGCGGCACCACCTGGAGTTCGGCAAGTTCCTGCTCTCGGAGGAGGTTCGTGGACGAGGCAGGGCGTGGCCGCGTGTTTCCAGCCACCTGACCCGCGTCCGAGCCGCGCCTCCGCCGGGCGGGTGTTGTGACCCGCGCGCCAGACCCGGGGCCCTGCGCCAGCGGCCGGATCGATTCGCGTTTGCAAATGTCCCCACGGGCGGGTAGGGCGGGCCCAGGGCCCGGGCCCGGTGGGAGGAAGCCGGCCTGCAGCGCCCGCGGGGCCGGGGCGAGGGCGGCTCTGCGACTGCGGCCCCTCCCACAGACCCTGAACATCTACCAGAACCTGAACCGGAGGCAGCACGAGCACGTCATCCACCTCATGGACGTCGCCATCATCGCCACCGACCTGGCGCTCTACTTCAAGTGGGTGCTGCCCGCGGGCACCGCCGAGGCCCACGGGGGCCCCACTGGGGCCGGTGGGAGCCCGGGGCCCCGCAGACGCAGCCACGCTGCGGGCTCCCCTCCCGGAGGGGGTCAGATCAGGGAGGACACCGCGGGGTGAGGGGCTGGGGGCCGACCCACCCCCTGTTCTTGGGGTTCAGGAAGAGGACCATGTTCCAGAAGATTGTGGACGAGTCTAAGAACTACGGGGACAGGAGGAGCTGGGTGGAGTTCCTGTCCCTGGAGACCACGAGGAAGGAGATCGTCATGTGAGCTGGCACGGCCCCTCCCTGGTCCCCGGGGTGACCCTGAAACCTGCCCGCGAGAGCAGGAGGCCCAGGGTCACTGATGCGCTGGGCGAGGCAGCCCATCCGGCAGCTTGGATGCCTCCATTGTACTTGCTTCTCATTTTCAGAAAGACAGTGTGGGTTTAGGGGTCGGAGGGGCCACTTCCAGTTTGTGACTTTGGCAGTAATCTGCTCACTTGAGCCTCCGTTCTTCATCTGCATGAACTGCTGTCCTCCCTGGGCCTGCCCCCCCACACAAATGTGGCAGAGATACTTAGTCACTTTAGTTAGTGCTGTGGGGGGCGGCAGGGGCCTGCTAGGGGGTCCGCAGGAAGACCAGCCCCACTGGAAGGACAGGCTTGGCCTGTGCCTTGGGGTCTCCGGGCCTTGGGGACAGGAGAGCACTGGGGTGCTGGGGCGGGAGGGAGGCCAGATGGGCGTGCCTGGAGCCCCACCCACCTGCAGGGCCATGATGATGACGGCCTGTGACCTGTCTGCTATCACCAAGCCCTGGGAGGTCCAGAGCAAGGTCAGCGGTCATGCGGGGCCCGACCTGCCAGCACTTCCTGGGGTTACACGGGGTGGAGGGCTGAGATGAGGGACAGACCCATGTGTCTGCATGTAGCAAGGGGGGCTCCTGCCCTGCTCCAGGGCCAGGCCGGCCTGAGTAGTGGGGGCCCCAGGCCTGGGGCAGAGAAGTCTGCGGGCACAGAGCCTGGGGGCAGATTCTCAGGACAATTTCTGGCCAAGTGCTGAGCTCCACTGGGTGACTGCCTTTTGTGTGACCCCAGGTGGCTTTGCTGGTGGCAGCTGAGTTCTGGGAACAAGGTGACTTGGAAAGAACAGTTCTGGATCAGCAGCCCATTGTAAGTGTTGCTTCCAGAATATTCTACTCCCTTGGAGCCTCAGGCTTGGCTCTATGCATACAGGGGATCCCCAGGAGTTCTGGGGTCCGGGGGCCTAATCTCACTTTGTGAGGTCGTGGGAGATGAGCTCAGGATCTGGGTAAAGGTGTGGAAAATACAGGTTTGGGTAAAGCTGTGTGCCCATGCAGAGGTGGAAGGTCATCACGGAAACTCGCAGGCTGTGGCTCATAATCAAGAGCTTTCATGGGTCCAGCAGCTCTGCAGTGACGCGCAGCTGGGCACGAGCTGCTCCAGGAAGGGTGCCCGTAGGGAGGGTGCCAGGCCTGAAGAAGAGCCGGGGGAGACCAGGAGCCCACCCCACGGTAGACGGATAATGCTTGGGTCTTCGGGTCGGCAATGTGGGGTCAGGAATAAGCTGCTGGGCCGTAATGCCACCTGCATGCAGCCAAGGGGACAGGACAGCGTAGTGTTGTCCAACAACATGTAGAAGAGATGTTAAGAGGGTTTCCCTCACAAGTCAGCTCCAGCCAGTGAACATCTGTCTGCACATGCCTGAGGAGGCTTTGGGGCCAGTTACAGACTCCAGGAAAGGGTGCCTTGGAAGGGTGCCAGCAAAGTCTTTTGGGGGATGGACAGGCAGCTGGATTGTTCCCTGTGGGCCGGGCCTCTAGGGTCCTGCGTGGCCCACCCTGGCCATCAAGTCTGCACAGTGGTAGCTGAAGATAAGGCTCAGGGCTCCAGACCTCCAGACACCAGGGACAGCCCGTCCAAGTGCATGTGAAGTTTGCCCCACAGGGTCTGAAAGCCAGGTCTTGGGTCGCTCAATGGCTAGCCCCTGGGGAGCTGGAGGAAGGGACTCAGGGAATGGGTTGGTGCTAACCGGGCTGCTCCGAAACCGGGGCCTGACGTTCCCCATCCAAGGGCCAGCATCCACCCAGGCAGACTGGGCCCCAGGGCCAGGGGCTCCACCTTCGTGCCGTCAGCATTCTGTGAACACACCCAGCCAGACTGGAGCAGGGCTGAGTGAGTCGTGGGGCTCCGATGTCAGTACCCTGTGCTCACCATGCCTCTGCTCCCCCTGCAAGCCCATGATGGACAGGAACAAGGCAGCCGAGCTCCCCAAACTGCAGGTTGGCTTCATCGACTTCGTGTGCTCATTTGTGTACAAGGTGAGGAAGGTGGTGCAGGGCCTGGCTAGGTTCTCAGGAGCAGGGGCTGGTGTGGGGTCACCCAATCCCCAGCAACTCCCTGGCCCCCATCCTCCTCAATCTGAACTTAAAAATCTGAAATCCTCTGTGCCCCCAGCGAAGTCCCCTCCCATCCCCCTTCACCCAGCCAGTTCCTCAGAGGTGCCCTGTGCTTTCCCACGGGCCTTCTTGCCTCCTGGAATGCCCTCCCATTCACCTCTAGGTCTCACCTCAAGGTTCCCTTCCCCAAGCCCAATCTAGGGCACCCCAGCCTGACCTGCACGTTTTTTCATGTACTGACCAGTGTTTGTCATGGGCCCATTTGTTCAGTGTCTGTGAACCCTGGGAGTACCGGGAGGGGCCACCTGTCTCAGCTGGGGACACCTCACCAGCAAACACGTCATATGGCTAACAAGTAGGTCCCATGGCCGGAGGCAACGTGACATTGCAGCTCAGGGGGCTGGCCAGGCAGTGAGGGGTCTGACTGCAGAGCCCCTCTCCAGGGATGCCCCGCTCGCTGCCTGCTTTCAGGCTGCGGGGCAGACAGTGCACCCAAGGAGGTTGTTTGGATCTGAATGAAGTCATCCCTGACTGCACTAGTTGCACCCCAGCGCAGCCCCCATGCCACCCTCGCTCCATTGCTGAAATACCAGCTGCGGGAATGTCGGTGCTGGAGGAAGGTGGGGCCAGGATGTGCACCCCAATCCCAAAGGTGGTGCCCATTGGTGCACTCCCCCCACTGCCTGAGTGTCCATGTGTGTTCACACGTGCCTGTGTATGTGTGATCCGTGCACGGTCAGCATTCTGTGAACACACCCAGCCAGACTGGAGCAGGGCTGAGTGAGTCGTGGGGCTCCGATGTCAGTACCCTGTGCTCACCATGCCTCTGCTCCCCCTGCAAGCCCATGATGGACAGGAACAAGGCAGCCGAGCTCCCCAAACTGCAGGTTGGCTTCATCGACTTCGTGTGCTCATTTGTGTACAAGGTGAGGAAGGTGGTGCAGGGCCTGGCTAGGTTCTCAGGAGCAGGGGCTGGTGTGGGGTCACCCAATCCCCAGCAACTCCCTGGCCCCCATCCTCCTCAATCTGAACTTAAAAATCTGAAATCCTCTGTGCCCCCAGCGAAGTCCCCTCCCATCCCCCTTCACCCAGCCAGTTCCTCAGAGGTGCCCTGTGCTTTCCCACGGGCCTTCTTGCCTCCTGGAATGCCCTCCCATTCACCTCTAGGTCTCACCTCAAGGTTCCCTTCCCCAAGCCCAATCTAGGGCACCCCAGCCTGACCTGCACGTTTTTTCATGTACTGACCAGTGTTTGTCATGGGCCCATTTGTTCAGTGTCTGTGAACCCTGGGAGTACCGGGAGGGGCCACCTGTCTCAGCTGGGGACACCTCACCAGCAAACACGTCATATGGCTAACAAGTAGGTCCCATGGCCGGAGGCAACGTGACATTGCAGCTCAGGGGGCTGGCCAGGCAGTGAGGGGTCTGACTGCAGAGCCCCTCTCCAGGGATGCCCCGCTCGCTGCCTGCTTTCAGGCTGCGGGGCAGACAGTGCACCCAAGGAGGTTGTTTGGATCTGAATGAAGTCATCCCTGACTGCACTAGTTGCACCCCAGCGCAGCCCCCATGCCACCCTCGCTCCATTGCTGAAATACCAGCTGCGGGAATGTCGGTGCTGGAGGAAGGTGGGGCCAGGATGTGCACCCCAATCCCAAAGGTGGTGCCCATTGGTGCACTCCCCCCACTGCCTGAGTGTCCATGTGTGTTCACACGTGCCTGTGTATGTGTGATCCGTGCACGGAGTGATGTGTGTGGGCATTGTGGGATGCATGATGTGTGAGACGGGGTCGGCGGGGCGCCATAGCACCTGCGGGTCTGCCTGAGCCCCCTGCCCCTGCCAGGGTCTCCCCTTCTGCAGTTAACACTTCCTATTCTATTCTTGGGGTCCTCACCCCACTAAGTCCTGTTTCATAAGCATCCACATCCCACAGCTCCCGTTCTAACCTTAAGAACACAAACCCCACTCCCCTCCTCCCTTTCCAGGGCTTTGCTGGGAAACTGGCATCTCGGAGGTCTTCCCTCCTCTGCCCAGGCAGGGCCCCTCACGGGGTCTTCCAGGGACAAGTGAGGCAGGTGGCGGGGACCGGCTGGGGCCAGTGAGGGCCAAGCCATGGGGAAGCCACCTGTCCCAGCCCACCTGGCAGCTGGGAGGTGTCTTCAGTCAGGAACCTCTCGGTTCCCTTTCCAGGAGTTTTCCCGTTTTCACGAGGAGATCCTGCCCATGTTCGAACGGCTGCAGAACAACAGGAGGGAGTGGAAGGCCCTGGCCGATGCGTACGAGGCGAAGGTGAAGGCCCTGGCGCAGCAGGAAGAGGAGAGGACCACGGCCAAGAAAGGTGTGGCTTTTTCCGGCCTCTGCCCCTGCCACTGGAGCCTAGTGGGAGGCAGCCCTCCGAGGGCAGAGTACCGCGGTGACGAGCCGGAGGACCGAACAAGGGCTACATCTGGGGGGAGGCAGGTTTCAGGCCTGCGGCTGGTTCACTCGCTTCCTCACAGCAGAGGTGCTGTGGGGGGAGGCCCGGGGAACAAGCCTGCTGGGTCACTGTGCTGACAGCCTGGACAGAAGGATTTCCCCTTGTTCCTGGCCAGGGAACTGCTTTCCTCTAAGAAAGTAACAGGCTTCAAGTAGGGAAAGCACGCTGAAATGCCACGAACCCTCAACGCTTCTCGGGGTCAATGTCAAGCTGCAGTTTCCTCCTAAGTAACAAAGGAAACACATCCATATTGCCATGCCTCCCTCAGAAATAGAACAGCAGACTAAAAAGGCAGACAGCTGGGAGGGCAGGAAAAGGGCAAAGAATCGAAGCGAGCCGTGTCTGGCATGGTGACATTTCCCCCCATGCTGGGCTCCAGAGCATTTCCACTCACCCTAAAGGCTGGAAATGCGGCTCCACTGTAACCAGCCCGCACAGCCCTGAGTAGGGATCCTAGGCTTCTGCCTTGGTACCTGCCCAGGATGGGCCACCTTGGGCCTGGGACTGTTGCTCTTCTGTGCAATTCCCTGCTACGGGGAGGAAGCCAGTGTAAGCAAGCGGGCCTCTGGGTTGTGGGAGGTAGAGACCTAAAGTATCACCAAGGGCTGAGGAGCAGCTGAGCCCTAGTGGCTAATGGACTTGGGCCAACCAGACTCTGCACTCCACCCTTCCTCCTGCAGGTTGGGCAGGACACCCAGAGCCCGGGGGAAGGGTGGTGGGCATACAGCTCTCACGCAGTCGTGTCGTCTTTTGCAGGGGGCACAGAAATTTGCAATGGTGGCCCAGCACCCAAGTCTTCAACCTGCTCCATCCTGTGAGCCTCCAGAGGGAAGGTTCCCTCCCACCACACGCCCACTGGGACTCGGCCTCTAACCATTTGGTGCAAGAGGTTAGGACACCCAAGAAAATGATTGAAGAGAATTTTGGCTAGTTTGAAATTTTAAGGTTTGTTTTTATTAACTGAAGCCAACTACAAATGAACAGATAACCTTACACTCACCCACCTTCTGGACACAGAGACCTCGAGAAGCACCTGTGAGCCGTGTCTGCAGGCACTAGGGGACAGAATGCACAACTGCACACGTGATGTACATATAGATGCTATCTCTCATCTGACTTAGGAAAAACACATGACCAGAAATTTAGAATAAAATGAAAAGGAAACAAGTTGCCTTCTCTTATATGGCAGAAATTATGGTGGGTGGTGTGTCATTTTAAGACCCATCAGAAAAGTCTGCCAAAAGGTCAGGGCCGTGAGTAGAGCTACCAGACGTGACGTGTGCAGAAAATAGTCTGTTATAGACACGGTACGGAATTGCTCTAACTCAGTGGACCCGGAGGCCAGGGTGGCCCTCCTGCCCACACCTGTGGCTGCCCAGGGCCTTCCTCCCCACTGAGGCTTCCCTCTCAGCAGCAACCACACTTCCGGTGACTAACTGTGAGCTGGGAAGAGACAGACCCAAACCAGAAGACACAGGTCTCACACGAGGTAGGCACTATTACCTGTAGAAATTAAGGAGTTTTAACTAGTGAGCCCCACAGCATTTGTTCCGGACACTTGTGCTGGACCCCCCGACTTCCCTCAGGCTGGTTTCTTAAGGCCACTTCAGTTGCCACCAAGACCCTCCCCAAGATCTCCTGTGGGGATGGACATGCCCCATATGGCCCTCTGCTCCCAGAAGTTCTTTGTATGTCAGCAGTGGCACCTGGCCACTCGGGCCTGTGACTGAGCCCAGGGACTCTTTCAGGTTCCCACAGGGGCTCAGTGCCAGCCAACCACTCTTGACTGGGTTCTCCAGGGGATCCTCTAGGACCTGGGTGGGCTCACTCAGCCCTCACCTGAGCCAGCAGGGCTTTCAAGGGCTCATCTGCTGCTGTATTTTCTTTCTACTTTTGTGTCACAAACCAATATGATCAAAGCCTAGGAAACGGGCTCAAGGCAAATGGTTGGGAGAGCAACATTCCACCACCAGGCTGTGGGGATTGGGCGGGCAGCCAGCAGGGGCAGAACGCGGCTGGCTGCTCAGGCGTCTGGGCCCAAGCCTCCTGACAGCCAACGGTGCCCCAGCAGGTCCTCGGGGAGCCAAGCACCTCCGGGGTCAAGGGAAGGTGACAGCCAAGCCCCACCCCAACATGCACAGCGCCTGTCCAAGGGTCTGGGCCAGGGCCGGGCGGGAAGGATCAGGCAGCGCCCACAACACCATGCTGGCTACGTCTCTGCTACAAACTGCAGCCGTCGGGCTCCTCACCTGGGCACCCCGGGAACAGGGCAGAGCTTCTGTGCTTCCTGCCCTGTACACAGATATCCTGGGTCTGTGGTGCACCATTAGTTCTGAAACCCCCACCACACCCTGCATAAACCCAAGGAGACAAAGCACAACTCCTGAGCCCAAGTCCAGAAATCAGACAACTGGGGACAGTAAGGAGAGCATCAGGCACAACAGAAAGCTTTATTGTCCACACCACTCAACAGAAGCAGGTTCACTTCAGTATGCTGTCGTCCCGGGCTGAAAGGTTGGACAGAAAACACGCATGTGACTGCACGCTCAGGCAACCCAGAAGGACCACTTAAACTCTTCACTGTTAAAGACTCCGGTATCTCATTCCAGGGGAGCCCAACCATTCTCTGCTCTTTCCTGCCCTTGACCTTCCTCACTCCTGACATTCCGGTGGGGACCTCCCAGGACACGGGAGGGAGGAGTGTGCCTAGTTCTGGTCCTCTGGCCTCTCTGAAGGCGGCACAGACATTTATGTTTCCAGACAGTTAATCTCCAAGTCTAGGGGCCTCGGCCTCACCAAAGGCAAGGTGTTAGTTACCGTGTCCCCCAATACCCAGGACACCGCTCCACCTCCCCCCCCATCAGAGGGCCCACGGGAGGCGGCCTGTCCGCTCCCCAGCGGGCCTCGCTTGCAGCAGCTGTTTGCTTCCTACAATCTGTAAGACTGTGACACAAGTACCTTCCGCCAATTCTCTCTCGATCCGTTTCAGCTCATCCTGCTTCTTTTTCTCCTCAGCTGCTACCCTTCTGTCCTCTTCCGCCAGAGGTTGCAGGTAACCTGTTTAAGGAAAGCAGGGGGTGGGGACGTGCTTTCAAATAACTTCTTCACTGGGACCCTGCATTAGACTTCAGCCCACATGCACAGCGCTCGAGGCACACCTGCTGACCACTCTTGTTTACGTCAAGTGAAGGGCCTGACCTTCACCCCTACAAAGCGTCCAACCCAGAAGGCAGTTACAGGGCCCCCGATGCTTTCCCAGGCACCTGCCACCTGCCACACATTTCCTCCCCAGGCCCTTTGTGATAAGGAGCTGCCTGGCTGTCAAACAGCTACACTCAGATAACACCCCCAGCAGCACCAGTTTTCAACAAGAACCACTCACTTTCCGGTCTGCAGGATGGTGCCCAGCATCAGCATGTACTCTGGGTCCTGGCCACCTGAGCTGATCCCAAATCGACCTACACTCCCGTCCTAGCCCCGCTCAGGGGTCAAGCTGGTCAGGTTTCTGGGTCTGGCGCCTCCCACCCTGCCTCTCTACTGCCCTCGGTGAGTTTATCTCGCAGGGGTTGACTAGAGGCACTGAGAAACCCTAGGCGGGCTTAAAAAGCCCCAACACTGCCCTGTCGGTGGGGTCAGCGGCGCCCGCGGTCGGTCACTCACTGTAGCGCTTGGCTCCGTAGGTCACGCCGAGGAACAGGGCCGAGTAGCGGCAGAGCTGCAGGAAAGGCGATCAGACGGTGGAGGCAGGACCTGGGCGGGGGTTTCTCGGTCCGCGGGTTATAAGTAGCGGGCGCGGAGGGGGAGGGGTTCGCACCCGCGGGGACGGAGACGGAATGGAGCCGGGGAGGGGGTCGCACCCGCGGGGACGGGGACGGAATGGAGCCGGGGAGGGGGTCGCACCCGCGGGGAGGGGGCCCTGGGGGCGGGCCAGGGATCCGGGCTCCACGGGGTCGCACATGTGCGGGGCCAGGCGAAATCGAGCACCGGACGGCCGCTACGAAAGCCTCGTTCACCTTGATAAGCGGAGAGACCTGCACCGGGGGCACCATCTTGTCCGTGACCTCCACACCGGAAGCACTATCTGGTGGGCGGCAGTAGAAACCGCCAGGCCCGGAAGGCCGTGGAGACAGAATTGAGGCCCCGGGAGAGCGCAGGCGCCGTTGGCGGCGAGCTGGCCGCGGCGGCGCCCCCTGGCGGGAGGCTGGGGAACGACGTGCGCCTGGCGGTGGGGCGACGTCATCGGGCGCACGCGCGCGCCAGATCGGGGGAGCGGGTAGCGACTGGCTGGGCTCGCGCAACGTCTGCCCCTGCAGCCCTAGATAAATCGCGTCTCGCACACCGTAGGCCCGAATAGTTGAAAAGCATACATGAAGCTTATAAAGTGCAAAGCAGCGCCCTCCATCCTGCCCTGGGCGGTTCCTGACCAGGCCGGGAGCTAGGGAGCCCCGCCCTACGGCTGGAGGATGGCCCCCGGCCTCGTCCAGGCCTGGCGAGCAACCCTCAGAATGGCCCGGGAAGGGCCCTTGGGGGCCTGGGAGATCTCGAGGCTTTGGGCGGAGAGTCTGGTGTCCCGGCACTAAATGTGACCCGAGGAGCCCCTCCAACTGAGGGGCTGTGGGCTTCCTGGGAAGACCACCCTGGCAGAGCCTGCACCCAGATCTCTGACTGCTATCCTGGGGACCCTGCAGTCCCAAGCTCCAAAGTCCACCTCAACCTGGGCCTCGGGGGCCGTTGAGCCCCGAGACTGCCCCTCGCTCATTTCTGCTGCTCATGGCGGGTCATACCTGTGAGGTACTCTGTCCCCATCAGAGTATCCCCCAGTGTCCCCCAGCCCTAGGGTGAGCCTTTCCAAAGAACCAGGCCAGCCCCGGGTATGCAGAGGGGCCACCCAGCCATCCAAGTGTCCCCTGTGTGCTGACAGATGGGTCCCATGGCAACGGCACCCTGGGCTCTGCTGCTCCTGGCAGAAGCTCCCCGAGAACCAGGGCTGGGGGCTCACTAAGGTCCCCGCTCCACGGGAAGGGAGCCTCTTCTCCCTCTTCCTCATCAAGTACATCAGATTCCAAAGACAGCTGAACTATGAATCTAAAGAGAATGGAAAGGAGCACCGAAAACGCCAGGGCACAAAGCCGTTGCTCAGTAAATCTGCAGGACGGGACCCAGGAACCGTTTCCAGGGGCCCGTGCAGAGCCTGCACCCTCTTAGGCTTGCTCTGAAGCCCTGGCTCTGGGCCTCCCAGATGGGAAGCTGGAAGGTCATCGGTGCCATTTCCTAGGCTGGGGGTGGGAACATTGAGGCTTATGCTATGGGGCTGCCAGCCCTTTTCTGAGCCCTCTGAGGAATCCTGCCTGACAGGGGTCTTCTGGTGGGCTCCACGGGGCCTGGGGAGGGGGAAGGCCTCCCCCAGCCCCTTCATTGCTCCCTGAGGAAGCTGCAAGCACACGCTGACCCCACAAGGCACAAAATAAACCCCCAACATGCCCCATCACAGTACTGAGCACGCACCCCACCCCACTTCCCCATTCTTGTCCTTGAGCAGCTGGGCAGATGAACTCAGATGTCAAATGTTTTCCCTTCCCTGGATTTAAAATAAACCAGATTCCTCAGCAACTCCTGCCTCCACAATCAAAAATAAGTGTCTCTGGGGCTGAAGGTGGAGCCAGAGCACCGGTGGGGGCCATACAGCAATAGCTTCCGCTGTTGGCGGTGGGAGTGGGGGTGGGGGGCAGGAGCAGAGAGGACAGGACGGGCACACCCACACACGCACACCACCACCCAGGGAAGAGCCCTGAAGCCATAGGTAGACCCACTCTGGGCCCTTCCTGGGGGCTGGGGTGTCCCACGTGGCTCAAGACACCGGGCCACCTGCAGATGCCCTTGCACCTGCCAGGGCCAGCTGTCCATGTCGCGTCCCAGTGTTCTCCATGGCTATCTTTAGTGTTGTCTCAGACCCCAGCCAACCTAGGAACCCTCCCCAGGGGCTCTGCTGGCATCTTCTGGCTCCCCTGCTCGAGGGGCATTCCAAGCACAGATCCCACATGCCTTCCCCTCTCCGTGTGGCATTCCCCACCCCTGGCCGGGGTCCCAGGCAGGCCCTGCCTAACCGGGAGTAGTGGGGTCCTGTGCACAGAGCCGCCCGAGACTCGGCCCCCGACGTCAGTCATGGGTCCTCCCTCTGGAAGGTCAGGCAGAGCCCCTGGTGAGCTTCCAAGTCCCTCCAAGTAGGCCACGCCTCCCCAGGTTCCTCAGGGTGTCTTGGACACTCACTAGGTACAGACAGATGGTGAGCTGGGCCTGGATCCTATGTGGCAGGACCTCAGGGGTGCCACAGGACTGAAGGTGTGTGCCCCTGGGGACCAAACCCCAGCTGTGGGGGCACTCACATGGAACCTCTCCTCTCCCAGCTGCAGCAGATGAGAGGTGCTTCACAGATGTGTCCGGGGTCCTCACCCCGTTCTTACAGGCTGCGCAGGCTCATGCCAACTCCCTCATCCCTGTGGCACCAAGACCTGCAGCTGCTGCCTCCCACCCAGACGCAGGCCCTGGGGGCTCCAGGTGTGCGAGTGGAGGTCTGCCTGTCCACCTAGCTTTACCCACTGGCCTCCTCCTGAAGCTTGGCCTCCAGCGCCCCCATCCTTCCTGCCCTAACCCTGCATTCCCCCTGACCTGGGCGCAGGGCATCTGGAACCTGACTTTGTGACCTCTGATGTCTGGTGCTGCCAACAGGCATGTGGGCCAGGTCTGCTCCCCAGATTCTGCTCACAGGGCCATGTTGCCATTGGAAGACCTGGCTAAGTGCTGGCCCTGGCTCATCCCACTTTGGTGGACCCCCATCCCAGGAATGTTATTCCCCCTGTGTGCCAGGCAAGTAGCTCCCTGCCATGGGGATGGGAGAAATGGCAGGCAAGTAGGGCCCTGCCACTGAAGCAGGGAGGTGAGGGCACACAGAATGTGCACATCGAACACTTGGTGAGCAGCCGCCGGGACCGTTCACAGCAACTTTGTGCAAATCTGGGACAGGAGCCCTTTCTCTGGCTCCTGCAGTACCCCCAGGTCCTCTGCACACAAACAGGCAGTCCTGGGCGTGCACAGAATCTAGAAAACGAAGGCTCCTGGGAAGCTGGGCACCCTGCTGGGTGGGGCAGGGTGGGGTGTCTGAGTCACTGCTGGCTCGGAAGCTCTCTGCAGTTGTCTGATCCCCTGGGGAGCCCTGAGCCCATCCATGTAGGGGTTGACAGCAGGTGTCCAAGCGGTCCTGGGGGACTGGGCAGGAGTTTAAGATAGGCCACGAGGGCAGGGAGGGCACAGACCATCACATCAGGCAGACTGAGGCATGGTGCATGTGTGCTGCCAGGCACAAGTGTGTGCGTATGAGTGTGTGCGTGTGCTTGACTGTGTCTGTGCATTGTGTATGCACACAAGCTGAGTTTGTGTACGTGTGTGAGTGTGAGGGGGTTGGGGGAGGGGGCAGCCACCCATGCCGCACAGCTGTCCCAGTAATGATCTGGGGCTGGGAGACAGAGGAGGGTCCTGGCCTCACCCTATTGGGAACCCCAAAACAAACCCACCCGCCTGCTCGGTCCATTTGCTCCTTGGATACTCAAAGGCCCAGCCGGACCCTGGCTGGATGCAAACAAACAGGCAAATTTAAGGCAAAGCCTGGGCACCATGTCCTGTGGGGCATTTTCTGGCCTTCCTGTGCCCACACAAGCACCTACAGCTGCCCCAGCCCAGAGACCCAGGAGTTACATTCCAGAATGCCTCAGTGCCCACCAAGGGTACCCCTAGTCAGCCTGGGGTACCCTCAGCACCGGAGTCCTCATCTCAGGGCAGCAGGAAGACCAAGGAGGGCGTGGCCTTCAGGCCCAGAGAGTCACCCCACGTCTTCTTCAGCTTGGAGCAGACCCGGGTCCAGGAGTTTAAGGAGGTGAGGCTTTGCTCGTGTACCAGGACATCCCGGCCCTGAGATGCTCCTGCCCAAGTGGATCCCCTCTGATGAGGCGACCGTTAAGACCCCACATGAGCCTTGCCCCAGAGCCGGTAAATGTGGGTGCCTGTCCTCACACGGTGTGGCCTGGCAGGCAACCGGTGACCCTGGCCTCAGTTCTAGGCATTCACACTAATGGATCAGAACCAAGATGGCTTCATTGACAAAAAGAACCTGAAAGACACATATGCCTTTCTGGGTGGGTGCCCCGGGTAGGAGTGCTACCACAGCCCACCACAGGGTGTCCTCTGCCCCAGAGCCTCACCCTGCTCCCTGGCAGTAGAGCCTAACCTAGTCCCCGGGCTGTGAGGAGGTGGGCTGAGCCTCCCCTGGAGGAAAAAGTCCCCTTTCCTTCAGTCAGGGCTGGCAGAGGGCATCACCAGGGCCAGATGGGATGGGTGCACAGCACAAGCATGGGTGTCCTGGAGAGGAGGCTGGGCTGGGCCTGCAGGAGCGGACGCCCCACGGGGACGCCACAGCCCAAGGGAAGCCTGCCTCCCAGTCAGTCAGGAGGCCCAGTGGGCAGGTGTGGAGGCCTGTTCCTGATGCCCTGAAGAGTACAGCCCAGCCTGCTGGCCTCTCCGTCAATGCCCCGTCTGGGGACACACTGTTCTCTGCCTGAGGCTGTCCTGCCCTTGGAGCTGGGAGGCAGGCTTGTTTTTACAGGGGTGAGGGTTCTGCACAGACCAGCTGTCCCTCTGGGCCCTCACAGCTGGGTAAGCAGATCCTCTTCCTCTCCCTCGGCAGTCCACCTCCCTTGGGCTCAGAGCTTGGGGTTCTGCTGAGCTGCAGAACCCATAGCCCACCTTGCCTGAGCCTAGTGTCCCCCCTCCCTCCCTCTCCTCACCCCAACTTCGTTCTGGGGTCACCTGGAGAAAGACAGAGGTGGGCAGCCCCATGGGGCAACCCCCAGTGGGAACAGTGGACACATCAAGGGCCACCAGGGCAAGGATGACATTCCTGCCCAGTGACCCCCGCTCTGCGTCTGCAACACGCAAACCAACGTCAAGGACGGCGGGCTGGAGGCCATGCTCAGGAGGCCTCTGGGCCCGTCCACTTTGCCATGTTCTTGAATGTCTGGGGAGAAGCCGACTGGTGAGCACAGGCTGTAGGCTGCAGGGCAGGCCCTTCCCAGGCCAGGCAGTGGGTGTGCGCATTCAGCTACCTCCTAACACTTAGAAGTCCAAACATTTCACGTAAAAGCCCAAATTTTCAGATCCCTTGAAAGCCTGGGGCCTGTCTTCCTGCACCCCACACCTGTGGGGCCCCTATCAGCAGCACAGGGCATGTGCGCTCGCCCCACCTCCTGTCTGCCTGTGGCGTTTGCTGGCCTCTGCTCCTCACTCACGAGCCCTCGCCCCAGCTCTGGGCCTGGGCAGGACCCCGAGCACCCCAAGCAGAGCTCCCTCCAGGGCAGGACCTGCATGGTCTCAGGAGCGGGGGGGCTGGTCAGGCTGAGAGCACAGAGTCAGCAAGGCATGGAGCCCTGGGGCAGCTGCACCGGCCTGGAGCCACCCACGCCAGGGCCCAGGGCCCAGGGCCTCCTGTGGGCAGGCACATGTGCTGAGGTGACCATCCGAATGCCTTCAAGATGCTGGACCCTGACAGCAAACGCAGCACACTGAGTGGCCTGGGCACTGGACACCTCCCCCAGGGGTCTGAGGGATGCCAAGCCCACTCCTCCAAGGTACCTGGGTCCGGAGGGGCCTGCCCGGAGAGCTCGCATCCCTCAGGGTGGCTGAGGGCAAAATGAGCCCCATGCATGCAGGGCTGGGTGCCCAGTGACGAGGTGGTCACCGCTCTGGGACCGGAGGGTCTTTGGCCTGTGCGGCTACTTCATCAAGCACTGGGAGTCATGCATTTGGTGTGCCAAGTGTTGCCCTTACATCCTTCAGTCTGCCCTCCGGGGAGGCCCTCAGAGTGAAGACTGAGCGGGTGACCCAGGAGAGGCTCCCTGCAGACTGTTCCCCAGGGACTGGCTTCTGAGGGGCATGTGCACTGTGAGCAGCGGAGGAGCAGACCCACCCCGGGCATCCTGCCCCCCAACAGAGGGCCCAACTCCCCGAGGCCAGGTCCTCAGCAGTCCAGGGCTGAGCCTTCTTCAGAGAAGCCCAACTGGGCTCTTCCTTCCCTCCTGGTCCTCAGCCTTAAGTGGCTGCTGTCAGCCCGGGCCGACAAGGTGACGGCTGACAAGGTCTGGCCCAGGCGGTCCCTGCTTCGACCCCTGCCCCTCCGGGCGCTGGGGTCAGTGGGGGGTGTGCCCCACCCCCAGAAGCTGTGCGTCGGGTGGGCAGGCACCAAGTGGCTGAGCCCTGGCCCAGCCTCTGCTCTGCGGAGTTCCCCCACTTTCCTTTCCCCACGCCCCCAGACACAGAAATAAGGTAAGAACCAGCTGGATCAGTGCCTGTAATTCAGGGCATGCTGGGGCCCTTGGACACCCTGTTGCTGCCTGCCCTCCGGCCTGGTCTGACGCCCGCCAGCAAACAGCTGCTCGCAGGCCAGCCAGATGTTCCATGGGTGCTGCCTCCGCTACCAGGCACTGGGCTGCATGCTCGCCACAGGGCAGAGGGGGAGGGGTGGGGCAGCCCCAAGCCTGGCCAACTCGATGAACGCACACCCACGCCCTGCCTGTCACCGTCTGTGGAGGGGAGGCAGTGTCCACAGGGTGGGGCTGTCCGTCGCGGCCTGGGAGGGTCTGGAGCGGTTAAGGGGTCTGGAGTGGACTATCTGACTGCGGGGCCCTCCTCTGCTTCCCCGTCCACACGCAGCCCGGCTCCACCTGCTCCCCCCACCTGGCCTGGCTCCCGTGCAGGGGGTCTGGCCTCTCAGTGGTCTGCAGATTGAGAGACTCTGGGACAGGCTACTTCAGGGGAGGCCTGCCCCGTGCCTGTCCTCTCCGGACTCAGCCCTGCTAGAGGCCCTCAGACCCTTCGACCCATCCAGCTTCCCCTCAGCAAATGCCCCTTATGCCAGGCCAACCCTTCCATATGCTGCGCCTGCACCAGCTACCCTGGGCCTGGCCTGGCCCCTGGGGCACCCTGCCTGGTCAGTGGCCACTGGCTGGTACACAGCAGCTCTTCTCGCAGCGGGAGAAGCCACCATGCTGTGCCTTGAGCGTGCCCAGGACAGAGTCCCTGTGGCATCTGCAAGACACCCTATCCCAGCTTGGCCATGGTGGGCACAGCTGAGGTGATGGTGCCTGCCTCTCCCTGACCCGGCACATCCCACATTGATGTGCTAACTGACCCCTGGGCCCCTGCAGGGCCTGTGGTGTCTCTTACGTTCAGGGGCTTTGGGACTCGGGGCTCCTAGGAGCAGGGAGGCAGGGTCAGGAGAGCCGGTTCCAGCCATGAGCTTTGGAGCGGAGCTGCCCCCAAGCGTCCTGCAGGAGCTGTGCGGGGCTCAGAGGAGTGCCGAAGCGGAGCCACAGGGGGCGGCGGCCGGGTGGGGTGTGCGGTCTGCAGCTGCCGGGCTTTCGTCCTCCTGGATGGAGGGGCTCCCGCTGGCCTCGGCCTGCAGGCGCCGGTACGGGGTGCGGAAGAAGAGGACCAGGAAGCAACTGAAGAAGGTGCACAAGCCGGCCATCAGCAGCACGGACACTGGGGAGACACGGCCAGCTCGGTCCACGGCCTGCCCCTGCTCTCCACGCAGGGCCCAGCTGGCTGTGGAGCCAGCTGGCCCTGCTACCTGTGACCACTGTGTGGCTCCAGGCAGCCCAATGCCAGCCCCCAACAGCCCCAAAGGTTGCTCCCAGACCCAGGTGAGCTCCAAGGACACCAGCACCAGTGGGTGGTTGTGACACCCCACCACTCTGGTGGCCATCCCCACCTGTCTCTTCCTCTCTCTGTCTCTTTCTCCTTCCCTGATTCCATTTTTAAATGACTCATACAGGAGGTTTAGAGATTGGACTTCCATCAGGGCCTCAGGGCTGTTTCCACCACGCTGGGCCTACGGGGTTCTGTCTGTTGCCCTCTGACCCACTCTTGCCCTGTGGGTACACTGCACCCACTCTCCAAGGAGACCAAAAGGCACCAACAGAAGGGGCCTTGAAGGGAGGTCCCCAGGGCCGGAGCAGCGGGTGGGAGGCCCCAGTGGGCGATCAGGGCCCCCTGTGGGCTGGTCACTCACCCTTCCAGTCTAGCGGGTCCTGGCCGTCGTGGCAGGTAGACACAGATGGCTGTGCACGGCGCACAGGCAGGGCGGTCAGCAGCACCACGATGAGCATGCCGGCAGCCTGCCTGGACAGTCACAGAGCCCTCAGCCCTGGCGTGGCCCCCCATCCACATGCCAGCAGCCACTCCAAGGGCGTGCTGTGCAGCCTGTGGGGCAGGGGACATGGGGTCCCCAGGGAAGGGGGAAGGACACTCACCCCAGCACAAAGACCAGGCCTGCGGCCGCGCCCTCACCCACAGGAAAGGAGCACTCGACTGCCAGCTCCATGGCGACAGGTGCCACCGAGAAGCCAAAGAGCCCTAGCAGTGAGCAGGTGGCGGCCAGCGCGAGTTTCTGGTCCTGCAGCTGGGACACCTGGAGCAGTGAGCCACACGGGGCCCACAGTCAGATGGGACGCAGCCCTGGGCATCCAGACCCAGCCAAGCCCTGCACCAGCACCTGAGCAGAGGCAGGGCAGTGCCCAGTGCCACCCCAGCAGGCAGTGCCTGAGCCCCAGAGGGTCTGGTGTCTGTTCTGGCCACACTGCCATCCGCCCCACCCTGGGCGCCCCACTCCCACACCTGCAGATGGCCTTAGCACGAGGGGACTCTCACCACAGCAAAGGCCGCACAGGCCATGGAGGTCAGGCAGAGTCCAATCTTGAGGGCTTCAGTGAAGCGCTTGGTCTGGTCTACATACAACCCGAGAACCAGTGCCCCCAGGATCCCAAACACAATGAAGAGAGCCCCACACAGGCCTGCAAATTCCTGGAGGAGAGGAGGCCAGGCACCCAGTCATTGGCATTCGGTGATCCCCTGGGTGAGGTGCTCATCCTTGATGTACGCCATCACCAGGGAGCCAGGACAGTGTCACTGGGCAGCACCCAGGTGCAGGCAGGATGATGCGGAAGGCTTGGCTGTGGTGGGGGGTGTCCTCCCCCAGAGGTCCCTCTTCCCTGCGTCACTCCTGCCTCAGGGACTCAACAATTGCTAAAGGGAAGGTCCAGTTGCTGCAGACTCTTGCCCTGTGGGTACACTGCACCCACTCTCCAAGGAGACCAAAAGGCACCAACAGAAGGGGCCTTGAAGGGAGGTCCCCAGGGCCGGAGCAGCGGGTGGGAGGCCCCAGTGGGCGATCAGGGCCCCCTGTGGGCTGGTCACTCACCCTTCCAGTCTAGCGGGTCCTGGCCGTCGTGGCAGGTAGACACAGATGGCTGTGCACGGCGCACAGGCAGGGCGGTCAGCAGCACCACGATGAGCATGCCGGCAGCCTGCCTGGACAGTCACAGAGCCCTCAGCCCTGGCGTGGCCCCCCATCCACATGCCAGCAGCCACTCCAAGGGCGTGCTGTGCAGCCTGTGGGGCAGGGGACATGGGGTCCCCAGGGAAGGGGGAAGGACACTCACCCCAGCACAAAGACCAGGCCTGCGGCCGCGCCCTCACCCACAGGAAAGGAGCACTCGACTGCCAGCTCCATGGCGACAGGTGCCACCGAGAAGCCAAAGAGCCCTAGCAGTGAGCAGGTGGCGGCCAGCGCGAGTTTCTGGTCCTGCAGCTGGGACACCTGGAGCAGTGAGCCACACGGGGCCCACAGTCAGATGGGACGCAGCCCTGGGCATCCAGACCCAGCCAAGCCCTGCACCAGCACCTGAGCAGAGGCAGGGCAGTGCCCAGTGCCACCCCAGCAGGCAGTGCCTGAGCCCCAGAGGGTCTGGTGTCTGTTCTGGCCACACTGCCATCCGCCCCACCCTGGGCGCCCCACTCCCACACCTGCAGATGGCCTTAGCACGAGGGGACTCTCACCACAGCAAAGGCCGCACAGGCCATGGAGGTCAGGCAGAGTCCAATCTTGAGGGCTTCAGTGAAGCGCTTGGTCTGGTCTACATACAACCCGAGAACCAGTGCCCCCAGGATCCCAAACACAATGAAGAGAGCCCCACACAGGCCTGCAAATTCCTGGAGGAGAGGAGGCCAGGCACCCAGTCATTGGCATTCGGTGATCCCCTGGGTGAGGTGCTCATCCTTGATGTACGCCATCACCAGGGAGCCAAGACAGTGTCACTGGGCAGCACCCAGGTGCAGGCAGGATGATGCGGAAGGCTTGGCTGTGGTGGGGGGTGTCCTCCCCCAGAGGTCCCTCTTCCCTGCGTCACTCCTGCCTCAGGGACTCAACAATTGCTAAAGGGAAGGTCCAGTTGCTGCAGACACCCCTCAACACCTCTATGCCCCTCAAGAGTCAGGAACGTGCCAGGCCCGCACCCACACCCAGGGCCGATACCAGACAGCAGAGGGCATGGCTGGAGCTGAGAGCTGCAAGGCCCTCCCAGTCTCCAGCCAGAGGCAGACCCTCCGGGGCAGCTTGCAGGGCTAGGGGTGCCCAGGGAGGTGCAGTGGGTAAGAATGGGGAAACCACCATCTGAAATCCCAGGGCACTCACGCTATTCCCACCCTCCCAGTGCCCCCCACCATCTGCACCCTCTTTGGCATAGGACACGACTTCCCACACACTGCATCTGAATACTGCCACCGTCCCGCTGTGGATCGAGGGCCCCACGCGAGGGCAGCAGTGGACAGCCTGGGCAGGGAGCAGAGGGCCTGACACTCACATTGGAGTAGCCCTTCACGCAGAGGACCTGCTCCAGCAGGGCTGAGAAGCTGGTGAAGACTCCAATGCCACCCCCGAAGCCCACAGCCAGGGTAACGTAGGCCTTGTTCCTCGCGAGCTGCAGGGCAGGGGGGCTCAGTCAGGGGCCTAGCAGGAGGTGCAGGGGCTCCAATGGGGCTTCTCCTGCACCTCCCACACACGTCATCGCTGCCCTGAATCCCACAGCACTGACCAGCTTCAGCCCATCCAGGAACTTCTCTGAGGTGGAGTGGGCGGCCCCGGCAGAGGGCGGGGTGGGGGGCACGCTCTCCCAGAGGCATGCAGTGGCCAGCAGGCAGGCGAGGCCAGCAGGGATGATGTAGATGCCCAGCTGGGGAGAGGGTATGCATGGTGTACATGTGTGTGGGCATGCACAGGCCCTTGCAAAGGCATGCAGGGTGCCTCCCGCCCACTGCTCTGGGCTCCAGGGGGCCCATTCCCCTTGTCAGCCACCCAACACATGTGCACCTCTCAGGCTCCCTCACCATCATGGAGATGTCTTCCTCCTTCTTCACTAGGGCAGGTGACAGCAAGTTGGCCACCAGGATGCCCAGGGGGTTTGCTGGATGGACAAATGGAGGCATTCATCAGCTTGGTTGTGGCTAGGCCTGGTCCCCTGCCCACAGGTGGAGCCATCTGACTGTGAGCCCAGAAGTGCGAGGCACTCAGCCAGAAGAAACCATCAGCCTCACCCGCAAGACTCACACATGGTGCCGATCATGTTGGCTGTGGCTCGTTGGTGCTCAGGGAACCACAGTGCAGCCAGCTTGGCTGGAGAGAAGATGACCAGGGTCTGGGCCAGGGCACAGAGGCTCTGCCCACTCATGAGGAAGGCAAACGGGTCCTGGACCTTGACCAGCATGCAGGGCACGGAGCGGAGCACACTCCCAGCAAAGTTCAGCCACGCACACAGGACGGTCTGTGGGGGTGGGGTCAGGAGCACTGCCTGGCCAGCAGACTCCCCTCCCAACACCTGGCCTCTGCCCACCGCCCCAGGGATTCTGCCTGGGGACCCTGGTCAGGGGAGGAAGCCCACACTCAGGGACCCCACCCTGTTCCCAAGAGGGCCCTGTGTGGGGTCTGACTCACAGCCCAGCGCAGCCCAATGGAGTCCAGAAACCAGATGGCTGCCACACCAGACGGGATGGACACCACAAGGTAGACCACTGAGAGCCAGTTGATCTGCTCGGTGGAGAGGAGGAAGCGCCGGGCAGTGGTGTCAGCCACGGGCGCGAAGCTGAGCCACAGCTAAGGGACACACATGGTGTCAGCCCAGAAGACAGTGCCCAGGCACCGCGGCCCCGGCTCTCCTGGGCTTGGCCAGCCAGCACGGCCAGCCTGAGGGAGGGAGTGGATCTGGCAGTCCCACAGAGGCCATGGTCTTCACTCAGTCACCCCAAGGGCGGGGGCTCAGACAGCATGCCTGGGCTGTGGGCCAGCACGATCTTTGAAGGAGTGGTCCTGGGGTGGGTGGTAGACGGACGCCAATGACCTGGTCAGGGCCAGGAGCCCTGCCAGGACGGACCCTCCAAGGAGAAGGCCCTGAGGGCTGTCAGCAGGAGGCAGATGCCCACTGTGTTGGGTGGCAGGGGGCACTGTGTGGTGGGTGGGCATGAAGGGGCCTAGATTAGGCACTGGACAGCACTGGAGCAAAGGAGGGTGGGAGGGGTCAAGATGAGGGGAGCTAATGGCCCTGGACCTCAAGTATATGCATGAGTAGTTTGCCCAGAAGGGCTGGGAGGAGCAGATTTTGGGGGACACCCAGTTCCTGTGGCAGACACTCAGGTAGACAAGGGCAGGAAGGTGGGATGACCCAGAGACAGGGAGGGGCTGAGTGGGAGAGATGTTTCAAGGGGTAGGGGGCAGAAGGGAGCCCAAAAAGCACCTCCAGCCTGTCTGCAAACTTGGGTCCAGGTGGAAACACCTGGACTGTGGGCTGGCCCTGCCCATGGCCAGTCTGACCGCCTTGCAGGAGACCCAGGTGTTGGGAGATAAGATCCTCCCCAAAGCAGGTGACATTTCCCAGCTCCTGGTGCTCAGGTGCCAGGTCTCAACCCCACAGACTGGGTCAGTGGGAAGGTTCACAGTGGAGGAGGTGACACTGTCTTGTCCCTGAAGGATGGGCTAGAAGGCCAGGAAGGTCTCCCCAGAGCTTACTTCAGGAGAGGGGAGGGAGGTGGGCCAGGGAGGGCCAAAGACCAGGGTGTCACACATCAAAGCTCACGGTCACTCCAAGTCAGAGGACCCAGGAAGGCAGGAGCTTGCCTGAGGCCACAGCCTCCCGGAGAAGCCAAGAACCAGCCTTCCTGACCCATGCAGAGTTCTGACCACAGAGCCTCACATGACAGCGAGCTTGAGCAACAGCCCTCTCTTCTTCCTTTTTTCCCACGACAGAGCACGGACAAATCTCTCAGGTTCAGAAAGAGCCTAATGCAGGCCTGGCCCTGCAGAGAGACTGCAGGCTGTCTTTCTCCAACCCTGCCCTCGCCAGCAGCGCCCCATCCTTGTTCCTCGCTGGAGCTCAAGCTGTTGAGGCAGACGGGTCTAAAAGCGCGAGGCAATGTGAGGATGGCAATCTGTACCCATTGCACAGGAATCCCCTTCCATGTGCCCGGCCTTCCAGGCAGTGCCTCATGTCCCTTTGAGCATGAGGGTGGGTGCCCCCAAACCTGGCTCTCCCTGACTCCTGGGCTGTCTCCTTGAGCCTCTCCAGGGCCATTCCAAAGACCGTCCCACCTGCCGTTCACACTGCCCTCTCGGAACCGGGAGCCCTGCTCACCCAGCTATGGCGGGCTAAACGAGGAGCTAATTGGACTGGCTAAGCCTGATGGTCAGGGCTCCCTGTGATGCCCAGAACAGGGGTCTGGACAGCTGCTGGTGATCCTCCTGTTTGTTCCACAATGACTTGTGGATAAAGGGGGCGCAGCATGACACCACCACACTGTCCAAGGAACTTCTCAACGCCGCCACAACGCCTGTCCTCAGATTCACTGAAGCAGTTTCAAGGGCCAAGGAGGCCCCTTGCTCTGCACCCTCAGATCACTGCACCCAAAGCCGTGCCCACTTTCCCACAGCTAGACAAAGGGACCTGGGGGCCAAGCCACAGCAATGAGTCCATGGAGAAAAGAAGTTTCTGGAGTCACGGCAGTCTCCAGACCTGGCCTCAGATGCTGCCTGTCCGAGCCCAGGGCTGGCTCCCCACACCCTGTTCAGCAGGGACAGGTGGGAAAAGGCCTTGAGAAGTTTGGAATGATGTCCAAGAGTGGCTGCTGCCCAGAATGTCCCGAAGGCAGTGTCTGCCAGAACTGTCCACACCTGCCTGCCCCACCCGAGCCTCCTGACTGTCCTTCTGCTGCTCAGCACCCTCCCCAAGCTGCAGGTCCTGTGCCAACCACCAACTTTACATTATGTGGTTGCATGGTGGTCAAATGCTGCCAACGAGTCCTGGATTCTGTGGGAGACTGAGGAGTCACCTGCATGAGAGGCAGCGCCAGGGAGGTGCCCAGTGGGGCCCTGTGTGAGCAGCACATAGCCTGACTGCTGAGCTGGCAGCCCTGCCTCCTCGGGCGGCTCCCAGCTCCCCCCGTCTGCTCACCTGCCTGGAAGAACCTGTCCAGGGAACATGGGGCTGAGGTCACCTATATGTGATGAGCTGGGAAAAGAGGGTCCCAAGCCTCTGGGCAGAGCGACTGGGTGTTGCGGGGAGAGTAGGGGAGAAGCAGGCTGGGAGGGCCGGGCCCCAGGGCCTCGCGGACCTGGCTCTCCCTTGCCGGGCCCCTGCTCACCAGGTGGCTCTGTGCAGGTTTCAGGGCTGAGGTGGTGAACACAGCCGAGTCCCTGCCAGCAGTGGGGACAGTCCTACAAGAGGTAACAGGTCACCGTGGACCCCAGCAGGGGAGAGACTGCGGGTGCAAGGAAGGCAGGCCTACTGTGGGGGGCCTCAGAATGGGTCAGGACCCCGGGGGGCGGGGGGGCTGCGAACAGGTTAGCAAAGGCCATGCGCCCTATCCTGCCCGGGGGAGGGTGGCTGTGGAGAGGTGGAGAAGAGCCCAGGGGAATGAGGGGCCGCCGGAGGGCCCCTTTCCAGCCGTCCAGTGACTCCTACCGCACCCTGTCGCTGGAGAGGGATCATCCTGAAGCCACCATCAGCCGCAGCCAGGAGGGGCTCTCCGCACAGAGACCGCAGGACTCGCCCGAACCCGACCCCGGCCCCACTGTTCGGCCGGTACTCCCGGGGGTCCCGGTCGGCCCCCACCCTGCCCCCGGGCCGCCCCTCCCGCCCGGTACCGTGGCGTTGGAGCAGCTGAGCAGGCTGAGCACCAGCAGGAACACCCAGCGGCGCGCGTAGGCGCGGTACCCCCGCAGCGCGCCCAGGGCGGGGGTCGCAGCGGCCGCCGGCCGCGCCATCGCCGTCGCCGCAGCCCGGGCGCCGCGCGTGGGCCGGGCCGCCCCAGGAGGGAAGGGACCCGAACTGAAGATGGATCCCGCCGTCGGCGGGAGGCAACTCTCTGCCACAAAAGCAGGGACAAAGTTCCCATGCAGGGGCCCAGACGGCCGCGGCCTCCGCGTGGGCCGCCCCCGCGGGCGGGCGCGGGACGAGTCGCTGGGAGTCGCTCGCTTCCGGACGGGGGCTGCGGAGACGCCCCTCGGCCAGGCCCACCTCCGGCTTCGACGTGCGGAAGGGAGGCGGCGAGCAGCAGGAGGCCAGCCTCCAGGGGGAGGCGGGAGTCCGGGAGCGAAAGGCCTGGGATCGGGGAAGCAGGAACTGGGGCGACGCGCAGGGCGGCGCTCGGCCAGGGCGAGGGGCGGGAGGCGGTGGGCGGCCGCGCCCCGGCCCGGGGAGGGCGGCGCCGGAGCCCAGCCGTGGGCCGGGCCGGGGCCGGCAGCCTCCCGCCGGCTCGCTGTTCGCGGTTCACCCCGCCTGTGAGCCGGAGGGCGGAGAGGAGCGGCGTGCGCCCGCCTCTCCCCCGCGAGGACACCCGTGCGGGCGGGCTGCGCCCTCCCCGCCCGGGGCCCGGCGCCTCCGCCCACCGCTCCTCCAGCGTGACTTCCTTCGCCCCCCCTGTGTCAGACCTCCGCCCGCCGCCACCTCTGTGACCCTCCTGCTCACTAAAGTAGGGAGCTCCCACTGCGCCCCGCCAATCACAGACCCCAGCTGAAGGGTCACGGCCTCAACAGGGAATGATGCCCAGCATCTCCTGCAAGAAACTGACCACCGGGGCCACTCAGCTGGGGAGACGCCGCCACCACCCTGAACCCTGGCCTTTTCTCCAACGGACTTTCTTCAGGACCCCTCCCAACTTCCTCCTTCTCCATAAAATAAGGGTCCTCTCTTATATTGGTTGGACTAGCCTCTGGTGTTTGCCGTAATTTGCTTGTCTTTAATTGCAATTCTCTGCTATTCTTGAGTAAACCCATTTTTGCTAGTAAAATATGTGAATAAAATGAAAGTTCCTGTGTCCAGGATTCTCACCTGGCCCTGGTTGGCTAGCTCACTGCACACGTGTCGGCAATACATCGTTATTGACTCTATATAAAGAGCTCTGACCAGTGCTCCGGGCGACATGGTGGCACGGCTGCAAGGCTGCAGGAGAGCAGAGTAGAGGCTGGAGTGGTGGCAGCGCCGAGGACAGAGGCCTGGAGGACGGCTGTGCAGACAGAGGGGCCCAGAGGCAGAGACCAGCTTGCTGCATGTAGACTCGCTCTGAGTGAACGAGATTTTAGTGACTGACCTGCCACCGTGGGAATAAAGTTGGATACAACCCTTTCACCACAAGAACATTCTGCTGTCATTTCTTTGGTCACACTGAATCCATAGTGAATTTGCCCAGGGCTGAAACCCATTGGCAAGACAAATAACTTTTATTTTTTAAGATCAACAGGTAGAAACTTAGCAAACTGTACAGTTTGCTAAAAATTATGCAACACTGATGAAAGAAATCAACAAAGACCTAAAAAAATGAAGATACACAACATGTTTGTGGACCAGAAGACTCAACATAGTAAAGATGCCAGTTCTCCCCAGACTCATCTACAGGTTTAATGCAATTCCTATCAAAAGGGTTTTGTTGACATAGACTTTTAGAAAATATTTGTAAACTGCATATCCAACAAAGGAATGGGATCTAGAATATACAAAAAGCCCTCAAAACACAACAATAAAAAGTAGACAACAAAAAAAGTCCAATTAGAAAATGGAAGACACATGGTAAGACATTTCACTGAAGAGGATATATAAGTGGCAAGTAATGACGAATGGCTACTATCATTAGCCATTAGGAAAATGCAAATTAAAGCCACAATGAGATATCACCACATACATTTCAGAATGGCTAAAACAAAAAACAGTGACATCAAATGTGGTGAGGTTGTCACTGCAAAGAATGTAAACTGTACAAAACAGGTTGGCAGTTTCTTACAGAACTGGTAACATGATACTATCAGATGACCCAGGAATTGCGCTCTTAAGCATTTATCCCCAAGAAATAAAAACCTATGTTCACACAAAAATCTGCACCCAAATGTTCAGAGCAGCCTTATTTGTGATAGCGAAAACTGGAAACAACCACAGATGTCTGTTAGTGGGTGAAGGTTCAGCAAACTCCAGAGTATCCACACCATGGAACAGGGCTCAGTAGGGATGGGCTGCTCATACATGCAGCAGCCTGGGTGACTCTCAGGGTAGTTATGCCAAGTGGGAAAAAAAGCCAAGCTCAAAAGGTTACATACTCTATGATTCCATTTGTATGACTTTTTTGAACAGATGACAATTTAGAAATGGAGAACGGATTAGCGGTTTGGGGGGTTGAGGGAGCGGGAGGGAGGTGGTTCTACAAGGACAGGAGGATCCTTGTGTGATGAAAATACTCTATATCCTGACTGGCCTGGATACAAAAACCTACACATATAATACAACCATGTGAGGGTAAGCACACCTGAGAGAGTGCAAGTGAAACCAGAGAAATATGAAGAAGGCTGTGGACTACATCAGTGTTAGGAGTGGCTGTGGTCTTGCACATTTCTGTTTTGCAATTGCTCTCCTTGGTGAAAACTGGGCAAAACATGCAAAGAATCTGTTATTTCCTACAACCGTGTTTGAATCTATCTCAAAACAAGACAAAGTTTTAAGACTCATATAATGTGGAAAGAACACTTACTTGGAAATAATGACCCCCCCCCAACACACACACATTTCACAAAATTATTTTACCTAAATATTGGACAAGCATCTTCAACATAAGCATGCGAGCTAGTCAAGTTCTGAATCCAGGTATAGAACTCCATGCACAGAAATGCCCTTCTGAGCCCAGGGTCCATCTGCACACCTTTGGGCCCACCCTGTCATGAAGACATCCTTTAGTGATCTCCACACAAAAGCCACCTAACATCTTGCTTTTGAAAATTATCTTTAAAGGATTGTTTAAAATAACATTTAACACTTACAATTATGACTAAATCTGTTTCAATTTCTTACCTTGCTTTTTCTTCACCAAATATAGACTCCTATCAGTGTTCCAAAATAGCATTAAAGCTTTTTTATGTGAATGTGTCTCTCTAAACAGTATCTTGCTCAAAGTTAAGAACTGAGAGCAGTTGCTTTGTCGAGACCTTTGCTGAGGACACACTGGGGAAGAACCTCACCCTATGTGATGAGATGGTCACAGCCCCATCCTGTTTGTTTGTTTGTTTGTTTGTTTACTTTTTTTTTTTTTTGCTGCTGCTGCTGTAAGAGAATGTCAGCTACATGAGTGCAGGAGCCAGTCCTTCCACACCCAAACCCCTGGAGCGGGATGGGGCTAGCATGTGCTTGCAGGTGAAAATAGAAGTGTGTGGGTGGGTGGCCTCTCTGTCTCGCACCCCTCCAGGGTAGTCCCTGCATCTCCAGGGCCCCTGGCCTACCCAGCAGGTTTGCCTCAGGGTGGCCACTTCTAGGGTGCACACCCTGAGCAGCAGCCTTCTGAACCTGCCTGATTTGAGGTGCACCCCCTGCCCTTCCCGGGTCCCCACCTTTACACATGCCCACCCTTGGCTGTGTTCTTTGAGTTCACAGTTGCTGAAAGCCCACAGATACCCAACCACCCCACCGTGGGGAAATGAGTAAGCAAAGCAGAATCCGGATTCTCAAATGGTTTCAAAAAGGATGTGACTTCATCCTTACCCATGTGGGAGGCCAATCAAGGAACCCATCACTGAGAACAGTTTGCAGATCTGCCCTGGGATGTGAGCCTGTGCTCCAGGGGGCCCCAGTGAGGAGGCCCTTGGAGCCGCCCACTCTGCTGCCTCTCTGCATCGCAGGGGTTCCCATGCATCCCAAGGTCAAGGCAGCACGTGTCTGGGACCCAGCTTGATGGCCCCCTCCCATAAGGACACTGCGGTCCCATTCTCTTCCTGCCATCAGACCTATCAGCCTATTAAAAAAGTGGAAGGATCTGGTTTTCTTGCCTCTTTGTGGGTATATAGTGTGACATGGGCAATGTTTTCTATGTGTGTATGTGTGAGGTGGTCTCTGGTATGTATGTGTGAGAGAGACAGGTGGATATCTAATGCTGTTTAGGGTTTGATGTTCATCTATTTTGTGTATGTGTCTGGTATGAGGTGGTGTCTAGTGTGTGTTCGTGCTGTGCTAAGTAAGGTTGTGCAGTTTTGATGTGTGCAGTGTGAGATGGGGCTCTATCTTTTGTGTGTATCTATGGGGTGAAATAGTTGTCTTATTTCACTGTCTGGGAAAAAACAGGCATCTAATTCTTTGGTGCACAGTGTGTGAAATGGGTCTATTTCTTATGTGTGTGGGGGGGGATAAAATGAGAGTGCATCAAGTCAGAAACTGTGAAGGGTCTGAGGTGTTGATCTACTTGCAGGTGAACAAGGTGGCCTACCAAAGTCCCACATAAACGCGGCACAGGAGACCCAAGGCCCTGATCAGAGCCAAGAGCACCGGTCACTTGCAGCTGCAGCAATGGCTCACTGGGTCCTGCAGGCAGGCCCCTGTTGGCGTCCAGTGCACCTGCATGCGTAGTAGGTATGTTTCACAGGAACCGGGAATCAGGGAACTCTCACTTTCTACAGAACTGTTGGGGACCATCCCATCCCACCTTCCAGAGAGAGAAAAACCTCTTGATTCTGAAATGTAAGCAAGCATCCCCAGGGAGAGGAAGGATGGGTCTTTTTCCCCATCCACCCCAGAATGTCTCGGAGACAAACCTTCTTAACTTGGCTGTAAACAACTTTGCTCTGAGGACTTGGATCTTGCAGAAACAGAAACATGATATATTCATGGAGAACTGCCTCCCAATAGGATCTATTTAAAAAAAATACTTCAAGATGCGTGTCTAATTCTTTGTGTGTGATGAATCTTTTAGCATAGTGCTCTGAGGTGGAAAAGATAGATCGTGTGAAACACGATCGTCTACTCTGTGTGACTGGTGAGGTGGGTGTCCAACATTTTTCTCTTTATGGTTGAAATTAGTATCTCCAAGAACTCAGGAATGAATTTAGGACAGAGATCCAATCATTAGGGAACACAATGGAGGGTTTTAAAAGCAGTTTAGACATGATGGAGTAAGTGAAATAGAAATTAGAGAAGAGGAATACAAAGAAGCTGAGGCACAGAGAGAAAAAAAGGATCTCTAGGAATGAAAGAATATTGAAATGTGTGACCAATCCAAATGGAACAATATTCATATTATAGGGGTACCAGAAGAAGAGAGAGAAAAAGGGATAGAAAGTATCTTTGAGGAGGTATTGTTGAAAACTTCCCCAATCTGGGGAAGGAGATAGTCTCTCAGGCAATGGAGGTGCACAGATCTCCCAACACAAGGGACCCAAGGAAGACAACACCAAGACCCATAGTAATTAAAATGGCAAAGATCAAGGATAAGGACAGAGTATTAAAAGCATTCAGAGAGAAAGAAGATCACATAGAAAGGAAAACCCATCACGCTATCACCTGACTTCTCAGCAGAAACCTCACAGGCCAGAAGGGAGTGGCATGATGTATTTAATGCACTGGAGCAGAAGGGCCTTGAACCAAGCATACTCTACCCAGCAAGGTTATCATTTAAATATGAAAAAGAGATTAAACAATTTCCAGATAAGCAAAAGCTGAGAATATTTACCTCCCACAAAC